GCCTGGAAAATTTGATGTGGAGGTGTTTTTTCAGGAAGCTCATGGCAGGTATACAGATTTCTTGCAACTTCTCATGGATACAGTTTGGAAACAAGCTTGAAAAGATGGTAGCTGGTAATAAGTTTTTGGCTGTGCAAGAAAGATAAAGAGTTGGTGTAAAATTAGCCACTTTTACTAAACACTTACCACCGTGGGTTACAAACCACTTTTCTGGCCTACATGCAGTGTAAAATGGAGCATAAAACTGGCTTATTTTCCTTTTGCATGACAATAATGGCATTTAATTTAGAATGGACGTTGTAATATGTTTTTGCAGTTGGAAAAAACTTGGACAATGAATTGTTCTAATGCCTGATGTTAACTTGGGTTCTACTTGACTTCACTCAGTTTGGAAAATTAGATTATTAGATACCCTCACTTCCAGTAGTCTGATTTTTTTTTCTGTTTCTTCAAAGAAATCAGGTGCTTGTGTTTTGCTAACCTCTGTATTGTCAAGTTAAATATAAGGCGTCTGGGATTTTAGTATCCTTGAGCTGTTACATCTTTGCTGAATAAATCTTCTCTCTTCCCCCTCGCTCAACAGTTACAGACATAGAGCTGAAGCGACTGAAAGATGCTTTCAAGAGAACTTGTGGACTCTCGTATTATATGACCCAACAGTGCTTCATCAGAGAAGTCCTTGGTGATGGAGTCCCTCCAAAAGTTGCTGAGGTAACCTCCTCTGTACTTGCTGTTTTGCTAGATATGCAGCTAATTTAATTTCTGTTAATTTTTCATGCAGTATCACAGTGTACATCCGCTGTCTGAGGATAATGTGCCAGACATTAAGCTACTAGCTCAAACTCAACTAATAGATGATAGATGACTTTGAAGTATCCCGAAATACCAAGTGTAGATTTGGGGAAGTGGAAGGGTGGGAATGGTTAGCGCCATGTATAGCTGTTAAAATAGAGGTCTATTTACTGTGAATTCCTCTTGGAATCCTCTTGGTTTTCTAAAGTGCAGATTAATCTTTACAAGCTTTTAAAACTAATTTTATCAGTAACATATGAACAAACTGGAAAATGTCTAGAAAGGAAATACATTACATGAGTATAAATATTGTATATATAAAATAGAGTAGTAATACCATTCTGCAAACGTTCATGCTTAGAAAAATATTTTGTTTTATAAAGTTGCCACTGATTTGAGAAAGAATTTGAAATACCATTGCTAGAGCAAGAATAAGACTAGCCAGACCTTTCAAATGATATTTCGCTCCATGTCACTTCTAATCACAGCTTCTATTTCTGGTATCTTCAGTGCTAGTGACCTCGCAGGCAGCATAGAAGCCTTCCAGTTTTATTTAGATAATATGAGTAGTGAAGTATGCAATGCAAAAGCTTTAACAGTGTGAAATATATTCCAGTGATATTTCCTTGTGTAGTTTGAAGACTTACTATGTGGTGTAGCTGTTTTATCTGTGAACGCAGACTCCTTTTCTAAGCTGGATCTTCTTTTTTTGCTTTCCTCTCCCAAGTGTTTTCAAAGATGATTTTTCTTCTTGATATAGTTGACAGTTTGATTTATGTGGATATTCAAGCACTTAGCAGTAAATACAACATATATTAGCACCGATAAAATTCAGGGAGAGTGTATGATTTACCCATAGCTTAACACACCCAGAGATTACTATTAGTAATTACTATTTGTATTATTACAGGCTTTTACCATAAGGGCTGCTAATAGTATGTAAAATGTCTGTTCTGAACTCATCCTGCTACCTTGTCTCTGTCCCATGAATGGGTTAAGCTTAGGAGTTGTATTGATCTGCTGAGTATTGTTATACACTTGTTTTTACTAGTTACTCTCTTGACTTTATGGGCAGAAACAACCACAGTCAAGAAGCCTGGAAGCCTGACAAGACACAGAATGCCATCTTAATTTACACTGCTGGAAATTAAGACTTATTTAAATCAACATAAATTCTTCTAAAATTATACCAGTGCAACTAATTAGAAACTGAGTCCTGTGACTTCTCCTTTTTCCAAACTCTAAGTGCTATATAATTTTAGTCAAATCACCATTTTTAAATAGAAAACATGTGGTTATACTCTTTACTTATCTACGAAGGGTAGCATGTCAGCATAAGATGATCTTTTATTATAAGTTGTGATGGGGAAAACAGTGATTTCACTGCTTCATTTACTTGTGTGTGTGTGTGTGTGTATGTTTTTTTTTTTCTTTTTGTCTTGGAAGTTCCATTAATGGGAAATACAAGAATTTTGTGCTTTTTTTTGTAATCATATTAAGACTTCAACTCTACTGTTCAACTGGCCAGCTAACTGTGTATTTTTATAATAACTTATTTCATGACTGAAGGAAAATCACTTACATAGTGGAGCCTTGAAGGCATCTTGTGAAATCAGAATGATTAGAAAGAGAAAGTGTGGAATTCAAATCCCTGCCATGACAATGTCCGTGAAGTTTGTACAATCACTGTGTCCAAACAGAGCACAAATTTAGTTCTAGTAATTTAGCCCCTCGGCATCTGAAATGGATTAAACTGAAGTAATAGAGGAGGATGATCTGACCATCCCATGGGACGTTAATCTATTTGGGTAACGCTGTGTCTTAAGCATAATAGAATGAAATTGCAGGTTCTGTGTGTCTTCCTTAGAATGAGATCCTTCAGTGGTATAAGCCTAGTTTAAATTTACTTGCCTTCTTGTCATGGCCTCAGTGTGTAGCAGTGAGTGGTGGCTTGTTGAGTAGCCAGGAGAGGATGGACCAAGGAACTTTCTGCTTGTGTCACTTACCTACTGGCATCTTTTAACAGCCTCCCATGGCACAGTGGTTCCCTCTAACTGCCCTCAGAATGGTCCCATCGGGAATCAGGAGTTTCTGAAGGGTGTCAGATTGTGATCACTTTGCGATTTACTCTTGTTTTATTAAGAAATGTTATTGTAAATGATGAAGTTGCCAAGAAAGTCAAACGTTCTCTTATTGATAAGAAGTAGTGGTGAGCAGGTGACCTCAGAAGTTGTTGTTTTTAACACTGCAGGAAGATTTCATTTCCTCTGGTTTCTTTCCAGTCTTCAGCTGGAATATTGTGAAAGGTTGTGTGTGGTGGGTTTTTTTGGTAACAAATGTAGATTTAAATCTTGCTTTGTCAGTGTAGAAGACATAAACTCTGTTGAAGTACTTAACAGATTTCTTGGCTTACAATTAGAGTAACAAATATTGATGCCTGTCAGGTCTTTGGCAAACAGCCTTACTGGCATGTGGACCTGTGTGAATGATATGGTATTTTTGTCTGCCTTGATTTGGGGAACATGGAGCTTTAAATTTGCAAAGGGCTTTTGCAAAGCGCTTTCAGCTTGTTGAAAATTGGATTCCTTTGTACTAGGCTTCATTGTAATGCTGCCCTCTGAGTCCTTTGAGAGACCAAATTGATAAAAGATTGCCCTTGATTAAGCAAAATGTCTTACATCATTATGGCAGAATCTAAATTCTTTGGTAATTGAAAAGTCATTTATTCTACATCAGTTATTTTGTACTAGTTGCACAGTTAGTTTAACCCCTAGCTGCTTATTTCCATCCTGTAGTCGCCCTCTTTCAGTCAACTGGGTTAGTGAAACGGATAATAAAAATGGTTGGTTTGAATCCAAGTTGAATCCCAAAAAGCCATCCTAGAATTAGGATTCTAGGTGCTGAGAAAGCAAATGTAAGTGTAATACAACTTAATTTTTAAAGCACTTGTATTTGAATGTGAGACAATAGATCTAAACAATTGTAAAATAAAGCCCCAGCATAACTTGTTGCTTTCAGTGTCATCTCTGTTCTCATCATGTCTGTCGCCAGTTAAAGACTTGCTGACTTTCGTGTTCTGTTCTCTTAGGTTATTTATTGTTCATTTGGGGGCATATCCAAAGGACTGCACTTCAATAACTTGATAGTTGGATTAGTTCTACTTACAAGAGGCAGAGAGGAAGAGAAAACAAAATGTAAGTAGCAAAACCTACAAGCGTGACAAGGTATAGAGTGTGTAAAACAAGTTTTCATGAAGGATGCTTATGTTGTAATATACTTGGGAACTATTTTTGTATATAACCAGGGCATACATGGTTGCCAAGACAGTATATTTTTTAGACATTGTTAGCTATATATCTTTAAATTCAATGCATTTTACTTTCGTGTACTCAAAATGGAATCTTATATTTCATCATGAACATAAATGTTTAATCCAACAAAAAGATTGTTGAGCATTGCATGTGGGCAGAGAAAGGAAGGCAGCACCGATATTTTTCAAAATGAATGAGCGCATCTGCCTACTGACTTCTGTTGTTTTGCCTTCTTGTTTACCTGAATTTACTTTCCTTTTGATTAGTGGCTAATGATAAAAGAAAAAGGAAATATTTCTCAACCTAAGCTGTACTGGAGTTGAGTGAATCTAAAAATTTCTGATGCTTTAATCATTGCACAGTTTTTGGCCTTTACAGTCAGCTTAAGCTTAATGTTTGAAAAATGTAACTACTGTATTTGCTTAAATATTTCTTTTCCTCCTCAGACATTTTCAGCCTCTTTTCTAATGAATCTGGGAGTTATGTTGTTCGTGAAGAGATGGAGAAGATGCTGCATGTGGTTGATGGGAAAGTCCCAGAATCACTCAAGAAATGTTTCTCTGAGGTATTTCATTGTCAAAAGAGTACAGACCAGCAAAATCTAGGCTATATAACACTGAAAAGCTGTTCGAGAAGAAGCAGCTTCTTTTGTGGGCTTCAGAGTACCTGAGTATCTCAAATTTTATCTTACTGTATGGAAGATAACTTTGTGCTAGAAGATATTATGTAAAAGGCATTGGCTGAGGCAGGCTCATTTATTCTGGTGGTGATACCATGATGGCTTCATAGGCATTGATTACATTCTTCTTTCTTGGCTGCAGCCTCAAATCATATGTACACTGCTGTCCAGTTTGTGGAACTGACCCCCTTCAGTGTTTCCTATCTATAATTTCACATCAGTATGGTGTGGTGAATTATGCACTAAGAGTTAATTGCATACTGTCCAAGAAATTTAGAAATACTTTATGAAGATACTGCAGAAAGAAGTATCTATGCAACTTGATATCATTTTCCTTTTCCTTTCCTTTTCAAGAAATGCTCTATATTGATTTTCTTTTAAAATGAAAATCATGCAGTAACCCTCTCAGCAGGATTTGCTGGCCTGTTAATCATAATAATTCATTGCTGGATTTATGTTCCTGATGTAGGAAGGCTTTCCTTCCTGCTATATGGCAGATGAGTTTATACTTTCAAGTATTATGTTTATAGGGACTTATATTCTTTCCTGTAGAAAGGTTGCATGTACTAGAAATATCTTGTTTCTGAAACACAGGAAACATTCACAAGTAATATCTGTGTTGCTGTAGTTGTTTAAGTTCCATCAACTGCACATCTTGCTTGCTTGAACTGTGTGGCTCCCCCCCACGCCCCTGGCCTTCCCTATCCAAAGCCTTCCTCTCTGTCATCTTCCTTGCTTCCCTAATCGATTGGAGCAGCAGAGAATTGTAGAGAAGCACAGGTCTTGTGCCTGATCTAAATTGCTATAGAAATGAAAAATTCCGTTGTGGCTGAATTTTGCTTCTCTGTTCATTTGTTAGGGGATTTAATTTTACTTAAGTGGTATTTCCATGATTGGTTAAATCCTGCAAATGCTGCCAAGTCCTAAGCATTGACTTCCCCTTCTCCTGGCTGTCATTCATTTCTCTGCCCTTGTTCTGGCTCAAGCATTTGTGTGACTCCCTGATGAACTGGGCTGAGAAACTGATCTGCCTGAAAAGTAACCCTTTTTTTCTGTAACTCATCATCCTCTAGGTCATTTTTCAGCCAGATCTGTCTTGCCACATGGCTGCATTAATGTGACTGCAATTGCAGAAGAGAAAGGAGCAGAACAGGCCTGGGAGGATGGGGGGTAGCACTGTTACTCTCACAAGTAGTGTGGATTTATACGGATTAGCTTGAAGATCCAGTAACAATATAGCCTCCATTCTGATTTCCTGGAATTATTAGCATGTAGGAGCCTGTGATTAATAACTAAGTGTTGGCGGATTTTTACTTTTTTGGTTTTTTTGGTCACATACATCCAGTGAATTTATTTTAGTACCTATTTTTATGGGAGACTGTCCTACTTCTTGCTCATACAGATGGATGGTGGCTCTTTACTGAGACGTAGAAATGGGAGAAAAACCGCTCACTCACTTTTCTTTGTAGGGTGAAAAGGTGAACTATGAGAAGTTCAGGGTTTGGCTGTTGCACAACAAAGATGCTTTCACGTTTTCTCGTTGGCTGCTGTCTGGAGGTGTGTACGTGACACTCACTGATGATAGCGACACCCCTACCTTCTATCAAACCCTCGCTGGAGTCACACACTGTAAGTAAATTAGAGTTCTTTTTATGCATATTTTTTGAAACCATTTCAGAGTTCATGAACTTAAACTGTTGCCTTGCAGTAGTTGTTCATTAAGTCTCACTCCTCTGATTAGACACGTACGGTTCTGCTCAGCAAGATAAATTTATTTTCCATGCTAATTTGTTCTCTGCCTTTTGTGCAATGACATGTAAAACACTGTTATATGCAAGGACATAGGACATAGTGTGTCATTATTTATAAGAGATAACAGTAGTGAGATTACAATGCTGCTTATAAAAGTTGACTACCAAGTAAACTTGGAAAAAAAAAAAAAGCCTCTTTGATAAATACCTTTAAAGTAACTTGATGTTAATAGAGATTTTGTATTTGTTCTTTCAGGTATAATAGATCTCAAAACTGTCACAGTTTTGAAAATAGTGCTTCTCTTAAAAGTAAACATTACCTGTTAATTTGTGTTCTGTAATGAAATAAGCAATATTCCTAGGATATGGAGAGTGTATTTTTTTACTTTCTCCTCAAATTTTTCAGCCTTTGGCTTAACAGAGCTCTAGTTACTTCAGTGCTCTGTCAAATCAAATTGCCTCAGGTACTCCTGTTTACATTTGAGCCCCTTTTGATTGCAGGGACCTATCAACAAATCAAGGTGACATTATGCTAACATTTCAACCATGCAATCCTTGCCCAGGAATACCTCTGCTGGAACAGTAGTCTCTGCTTTCAGTTTAACGTCAATTGTCCCCTTTAATTTCCAGTCAGCTCTTGGAGATGTTCAACTTTACAGCCTCAAATCTTGCTTAATTTCTCTTGCCTGTGCTGCTACCCTTGCGAAGTGACTGCCTTGCTCTGTGTTTTACTGGTAGACTCAGTGATCATGCCTCAGCATGGTCATCAGCTTTAATGAAAATACCCTTGAAATCGGCTCACTTGGCCTCTTAGAATGTTGTATTTTTTTGTAGTTCTTAAACTTTAAGGTTTAGAAATATAAGTAGGTTTCAGGTATTTGGTTTTAGTGTCCGTGATCCAGTTGGTGTATAATAATTTCATAACACTTCTGCACATTGCAGCATCTGATGCTGAAACCTATTACAGGAGGAAGTGTCGGCGCTTCCTCCTCTTCTAGGAAACACGCGTGGCTGCTCCCTTGCCAGCGCTGGTCTGTAAAGCTCCTCATCCCGGGGGAGAAGTTGCAAGTTTTTTTTTTTTTTTAAGCCTCATGAAATACAAAATTCTCCAAATGTATCTCTGAGTGCTTCAGTACAAACCGTATGTTCTGAAAATAAATTAATTTGTGTTGCTAGGTAGTAGGTCAAACCACTTGGAAATTTGATGTTTTCTGGTTTCTGGTTTTAGTTGTCTTCTGGGAGAATAAATGAGTGAAACAATGTTTTGTAAACCTACACAAACACTATTAGATATAGTGACAGACTGAAGGTTTTTAAATCTCTCATAGTGTGAAATGAACATGAATTTGTAGGATTTCCTGCTGCAGTTTGCAAATTAATCCACTGGATCCTGGGATTGGGCCGCTGCGCCCTCTCCTGGGACGTGGGCAGCTCAAGCTGCAGCCCTTGGCGGGCCCTGCTGCCTCCTCTCAGTGCCAGAGGCTGGAAAAACGGCCCTGATAAAAACGGGGAAGGTTATTAACATTGATTTAGAAACAGACAGCAAACACTTTATTGCAAAGCATCAGTGACTCCATTTACATTTGCTTAATGAGGCAAGATATCAGGGAAACAAACGAATTCTAATTTTTCACTTGTAAATAACATTTGTTTCAGAATGCAGATGACTTTAATTATATTTCTCAACACATAATGAGAAATTAAATTTTGAAGTTACAGGAAGTTGCATGAACTTGCTGCTTTTAATCATTTTTTTTCCATTTTATTTAAATCACGAATATGAATAGTTTCGCTTGAAAGCTAGAAAAATGACTTCAGTTTCTCTTGGACCATCAGTATATTTCCCCCAAAAGAGTTTGAGGGATTTGAGTCTCTCTTCCACCTACATAATGACCCACTAGCATAGCTTGGATTTTCTCCATTTTGTAGTATGACTTGGGTATTCTTGGATTTATTTTTTTTCCTGTCACTTTGAATAGAAATATAGTGAAACAACAAAATCCAGGGTAAGCGCTGCCAGAGACTGTGAGTAACGCTAAAATTCTCAGTAGGAGAATATTCCCCCAAATCATCCACGTATCCTTAATAATCACCAACTAAACGGCTAATCTCCCAGTCCCCTAGTCCAAGGGCAGTACTGCAGGAATATAACAATTTGTGGCCACTGGGGGATGTCATTTTGTTGCGTGCCGTGGCTGCCTAGTATCCTTTTAATTACAGGAATAGCACAGAGGTCATCCTGCCCGCAAAGTGGGGCTTTCTGTGCTTAATTTAGCCAACAAACACATAGGAACACGAGGGAGGCATGGAGGGGTCCCCCGTCTCCCTGGGTGCACACCCAGAGCACGACTGTTCTTTCCGTAAGACACGGAGACTTGTTTCTTTTTCCAGCTGTTATTACTGGGAAGCTATTCCCGTAAATCTTCTCCATGTATCTGTGGGCAGTGTATATCTTTCTTTTCTGTCAATATTTTCCTTGATCTCAGAGAGTCCCTGTTCACCTTCCTCTTTACCCTTCAGTATAAAGGCAGCTGACTTTATATAAAATTTCTTCCTGCCTTTTCATTAAACGGAAATGAGCCCGGTTCGAGGCTTTGTTCCGTGCAGAGTGCTTCATCTCCCTTCACATTGCTCAGAGTGGCTTTCTGCGTCCTCCACCTTCTGCTCTGTCGGGCAGTAAGTGGCTGGTGTTTTCCAGGTGAGACCTCGAGTGCTGCCGCTGCAACAAGAGGTGCTGGTTGCCTTTTTATGACTGGATCATTCTGTTGTGTCTCAGTATCTCACATAATGGGCTTTTATATTCAGTTTCTTCTTGGTCATTTTCAACAGAGAAAGGTTCCAATTTGTTATAGAAATTATTGGTTTCAAACTGACAGGCTGTAGAATTTGTACTTCTGTGCTGTTACTCCAGCTCCTGTGTTACTGAGTTCTTGTTAATAGCATCCTAATTGCCCTTTGAGTTAGAAAGAACCTCTCTTCTGTCATCAGAAAAATCCATCATGAGTCCTTGCTTTTTCTAACAGCTCTTACTGAAATGCAGTAAGACAGTGTGTAATGGATGTAATAGCATTTTGGAGTTTGGAGCATATGGTTATTCCTAGTTTAACAGAATAAATGAGGGGAGATCTAGATATCCAGAAGGCAGGGCCAAAATACAAGAGTGAATTTTTGAAACAAGATTTGCACTGAAACTAAATGTTGTGAAACCCATCCCGTCAAAGGTGGGTTTACGAACGCATGGAGCTTTATTTCAGTGTCAAGCTGCGGGTCTCTTGAAGGTAAGCAAGCTGAGGTGTTTGCTTGACTCTGCTCATAGCAAATGTCTGTCCAGGTGCAGATCACTGTTCTGTAGCTCACCTGCTTACGTCTTGGTTCCCACACTCTTGAAACACTAACTCTTAATGATATATATAAGAATATTATACAGTACTTCTGGTATCTATATTATAAGATCTGTTTTTTGTTGTTTTGTTCGATGAACGTGCCTTTAGCTTATTTACTTGTGTGCTATTTTCACCCCGTGTGTGTGAGCACTTCTGCTCTGAGGTGCTTGTTAGTGTTTCATATCTTTTCCTTATGTGCTCCCATCTTATTAAGGCACTAATGTGCACGTGCTACCTTCTGCTGGGCGAGCAGCCAGCGGCGAGCGGCAGAACTTGTGATATTCACTTCTCTGTGTCCTGTTCTCTTTTAAAAGAAAGAAATAAAAATATTGAACCAGGCTAGGCCAATAAGAAAATACCCTAGTGTGGCTTAATCTGCATCTTGCCACGTAGTTATCCTCTTAGTTCCCAGGTTATTCTATGTCTTGTAAAGCAGCTCGCTCTGCCTGAGGTCCCAGAATCTTCTCTGGGTGAATTTCAGAGTGACAGAGGGCTGTTGCTCGGAAATACTGCTGTTCGCTGGGGCTCCCAGGATGGTATGGTATGGTATGCTTCTACTGTTGTGAGCCAGGGAGAATTGTGCCAGTAGGTGGGTAAAAATTAATTTGTTAAAATATGCTGAAGTCTTCAGTTAATTCTGATGATATAAAACAAAATAGTAAATATTACCTGAAAAAGACTCTAATAAGAGTCTACACTTTCTGATGCGACTTCAACAGGCATTAGGAAGATAAAAATTTACTCTTTGAAGAGGTGAAATACTTTATCTAAAAGCTCTTTGGGAAAAGATGTTTTTTTCATATATGCTAGTGTGTTTGGATAAGCATGGTCTATTTGTATCGTGCTTCACTTAAGCTTCAATAACAAATATGTTTACATATATATATATATATGCACACACATATATATACACTGAATTACAGAAGACTGCTGAAAACGTGTCTTCGGTCCAGCCAGTGTGGAATATGAATCATGAATACTGTGTGCTATTTTTAAGAATTATGGTGATTTTTTTCTTTTGATGCTCCAGTTTGTTTGCCAATTGTAAGGAAATTGTGTTCAGTATTTTCTGAATCGCTGGCATCCTCAATGGGTCCTGAGTGTCTGGAATGGAATATGTTGGCCATAAGTTACTTGGTTCCATTTCATTTAAATATAATGAGAATATATGATGCGCTGCGTAGGCTGAAATTGATTTACAAGATTATATGCAAAAAAAAAAAAATCACTGCAAAAATGGAATTACCTAGCAGCTGGTTCTTCCGCTTCAGAGTTAAACATTCACATGCATTGTAATGCAGTAAGTTTGGGGATATTTTATGTAAATATCACAGTTTTACTTTTAAAATATATTCAGTTTAAGTTGTTCCTGCCTAATTAATAGAAAAAGTCTTTACTGCTTTGTCAGTTTTGCTTTCTAGAATGTTAGACTTTCCCTTGTGCCGGTATAATCAGCACATTAGACCTGCCTTGGCTGCCTTATCAGTGCAGCACTGCTTAGGTCCGTGTTTAGTGGCTGTTCTTTTGAAAATGATGATTGGGAAAAGCTTTTTTTTTTTTTTTTTAATGACCAGGTAATTTAAGTCACAGCTTAACCGAAATGCAGATAAGATGCCCTTGATAACCTTTTTTTTTTCTGAGATTAAGTTGCTGGAGCAATAACAGCAGTACTGTAGATACTAATTGCATTTGACAGCTAGTAAGTGGAGTAGAACTAGCTTATACTGCAGATATTTGAGAATATTTTATCTTCTGAGACAATTCATCTTTCAATTCGTAATTATTAAAGGTAAATAATGCACCTGCAAGGGAAAGCAAGTGTCTGCTTCTAAGGTTTAGTCTTCAGAAAAGACAGTGGGAACTTCCTCATCTCTTCTGAATATTGTAAAAATGTTGAATCATTTCAAGAATAAAGCAGCAGCCCTGTTTAACTCCTTTTCTTCCCAATTTTATGTGTGGTTGTGCAGGTAGCTTAGTGTGTATCATAATGTAATTGTATTCCCTTCTGAAAGAAATAAGGTGTGCATGCAAATTTTCCTTAAACATAAGGCAGACTTGTCATTTATAATTACTAGATACCGTAATGGTTTTACAAGTCTCTTAGTGTTAGGATTCTGTCTCGTAGTAGCATTTACCTTTCATTTGTTCTTGTTTTTTGATTATTTCTTGTCTTGAAACTTCGGATATATAGAGGAATGGTTTTGCAGCTCTTGCAGAATGTAGGAAGTCTCGCCCTATGGTGATACCCCGTGAGCTTTGTTGTCAATCCTGTCACACCCTGGTATCTGTAGACAAGACAAGGTGTATTTTACCTGGCCGTTTTTCTGGCATCTGTCAATGTTCTCCCCGGTGTGGGGCAGTGTCACTAGGTGAGCGGGACATCCCCGTGTTCCTGAGCACGGCAGAGCCGGCGCTTTCCTCGGTCTCGACCTTTCTGCTGAAGCTCCTGGAACTGCATCTGTGGTACAGTCTTCGGCATCTATGAAACTGCAACTCACTGATCTTCAAAGCAATATTTATTCCATTACTCCTTCTTGATTCCTAGTAGAATAACTCTCTTTTATATGTTTAGATTATTGCTTTCATATGTATTACTAGGAAATCAAGAGATGCAAGGCAGATAAGGGAATTATCCAGCTTTTTTGGGAGGGGGCGAAGACAGGAAATCAGGCTGCTTTTTCCGCAGCATCAGTAGCCTCAGCCCAATAGCTGCTGCTAGTGCAAGTGAGGATGCTGCAGCTTAGGCCTGGAGTTAAGGGCAGGGTAGGTGTCCGGAGCAGCCTGAACTTAGCCTGGCTTAGCCCGCCCTGGCAGCGCGGCGTTGGCGCGGGCGCCGCGCGTGTTCGTGCGTGGTCATTGGCCTTGCCTTCCATTTCAGACCAGCACAAAGCACTGTGCAGGAAGATGCCAACCCTGCACGCTCCTCCAACCCCGTTTCAGATTTTAAAATTTTGTTATATTTTTTCCAAGCTTTGTGCTGATGCAGGCAAGGCATTGGGTAGTTTGCAGTGCGTTATATCATGTGCCTGCTGAGTTGATACAACCAGTTCATGCTAATTTTAAGTTATTACTCTGATTTAATTACTACTGTCAATGAGAGAAATAAATAGGGGGAAAAAATCAATAAAATTTCATTTTCCATGTGCTCTTTTTATCTCCTCTGCTCTTAAGCTTTACGGGATTATTATTGTTTCTGTAGGCTAAACCAGGCCAAATAGCTCAAGTTAAACCTATTAGAAAGCTGGCATGGATTTAAAGGCTCAGAACCATCTGGGAATGGGATCACACGTAGTGGTTCTTAATATAGACAGCTCTGTCATTACATATCTTCTGGAGAACCAATTAACTTGCACTGACCTAAAGCAGTGTTGTGACACACTTGCATATGAAAAAGGTTAAAAATACTGTTGTGCCGAAATACTTTTTTTCCCTTTTATGTATTTATTTACTTATTTTTTGTTTCAAAGATAGATATATGAGACTCCTAAGCTTTTTAATGGCATTAGTATAAGACTCTTTGAAAGAAAACTCAAATTCTTGTGGCTTTTTCTTCTACCTTTGCCTAGCACTGTACTTTACTCATGGCTGTTCTTTATTCTTTTAATTAGATTATAATTTTCTTGGCATGAAGTGTCTTTTCAGTTGGTACAATCACTTCCCACATTTGACTGAATCTCTTACTGCATCTGTAGTATAAACAATAAAGTAAAATTAAATCTTTTATATATGGAAAAAACCAATGGTGAGATATTGGATCCAAATATCATGTAAAGATTTAGCCTTATGGCTGTGTACGTAGGCTAAAATTTTCAAAGATGAGTTTTTCAGGAGAAATCAAGTTGTAAGTTCTTTTTTGTATAAAAGTTGGGGATTAAAAAAAAATTACATCCTTTTTAGAGAATTTAAATATTGAATATCTTAGGAAAATGTGATATTGCATATATAATCTACCCGTTCAATTTATCAGGAAGAAACAAGCTTCTTGGAAGAGACACCTAGAGCAAAGTTCAGTTCTGTGGTATTTGTAGACTAGATATGGAACAATTGAGAACTTTGTAAACGTAGTAACTTTTTCTTCACAGCTGTATGTGTTTGTTTTTTTTTTTTAATTTGCATGTACAGGAATCAAACATAAGATATTACCACATTTTCCCTTTGTGAAGAAATAATGCTGCATTTTTATTTAGTGTTGTGCTTTAACATGGTCTAGATATTACCAGATTCTTTTATTTCTGTTGATTATGCAGTGGAAGAGTCTGACATCATTGATCTTGAAAAACGATATTGGCTGCTAAAAGCTCAATCAAGAACTGGACGTTTTGACTTAGAAACATTTGCCCCCTTAGTTTCCCCTCCTATTCATCCATCTCTGAGCGAAGGTATGAAACTTTGCTAGAATGTTTGGTAAAGTGATGTTGGTACCCTTTGATATCTCATAAAAAAAAAAAAACTTTTGAGTTTTAGAAGTGGACATGTTTCCTATAAAATGTCTTTTAAGCTTAAACTAAGGAGATGGATTTGTCCGAGTTTTAATTGTTTGAAAAAGACAGTTTTTTGTCATCAAGTTATCCACTTTACTGTAGTTGTCAACCAAAATAAAACTCAGAGGTTCATCTGCAGCAGATGCAAGTTGTTAGAAAAACAGATTTTATACCTAAGTTCAATTTGTGATACAACACACATGGGGATGTATCTACTTAGTAATAAAAATTTGCCCACCGGCTTTGGGGAAACTTAAATGGTTTCTGCTCACGGTCTGTGTCTCCTGTGGGTGTGGGAATTGGGTTATTAACACTAAAAAAGTACTGTATGTGGTTGAAAAGTGCTCTATGTGCTGAATGAGTAAAACTCTTATGTGAGTGTGACTTAAACTCCATGCTCTCTGAGGGCCAAACTTGCCAAGGCATTCCATGACTTCCCTAGTATCAAGTCATTTGGGAAAAGCCATCTGAGCACCTTTACTTTTTTGGTCCTTTAGCCGTTGGAAAATGCTCATCCTCACCACATTGACCGAGAAGCACATTATTATGGATGTTGTTATTAGTGCTTCATTATCCTCTGCTACACTTAGCAGTGATGGGTTATAATCCTAAGTTTGTACCTTTTCTTGAAAAAGTAAACCTCTAACACTTTGTAGAAATGCTACGTGTTGTTGTCAGCTGCTTTGGCCAGACTCCGTAACAGGGGATGCTTCTGTGGTTTGCAGGTCTGTTTAATGCCTTTGATGAAAATCGGGACAATCACATAGATTTTAAAGAAATTTCTTGTGGGCTCTCGGCATGTTGCAGGGGACCCTTGGCAGAAAGACAAAAATGTAAGTGTGCAAAATATTAACTATTAATTAAAAGAAAAGAAACTTCTTAAGTTCAAATAATTAAGTTTAGTTGTTTCCACGTTTCAGAATTCTTTTCCACAGAACAAATATAGATCTGTGGGAGGTGACAGGCTTAAGAAGTTGAAGCTAGTTGAAATATGAAGGTTTTCTTTTATAAAACATGATTAAGCCTAATTCAGTATATTTTTATTCATGACTTCATAAAACTAATAACTTTTGGAAAACAGCTTGTCATTTTAGAAGTTTTCTTGCAGTGTTAAGCCATTATGCTGCAGAGGTTTCTCTCAATACACGAAGTGGAAAGTGCAAACATTAGTCTGTTCATTATGTATGATACAAAGCAAATCTACTTGATTGTCTTGTGGTAAATAGTATGTTTTATCTTGTTTACTGTCCATTTTTCAGCTGGTTCCTTGCAAGGTTCCTGTGTTTTGAAATTATTTCTGTACTTTTTTCTGGCTTTGTATTATTGCAGCTTAAATGCTACCATTCACTGGAAATTTCTGGATGCACATGTGTTCCTTGCTAGGTCACATCAGAAAACACAGTACAAAATTGCAGGAATCTAGATTTCAGTTTATTAAACACAGCTGCTCCGTTTCCTCACTATCATACACACATCCGGCCCCATCAAAACTCTCAGCGCTAAATCACGTTCTTATGACTCTCTAGACCTTCTTTCTGCAAGAAAAAAGTAAAAAATAATCGCTGAGTAGTTCTAACATACAAAAGCAATATTCTTTTTTCTCAGTTTGCTTCAAGGTTTTTGACATTGACCGGGATGGGGTGTTGTCTCGCACTGAGCTTAAGGAAATGGTGGTTGCACTTTTAGAAGTCTGGAAAGATAACCGTACTGATAAAATACCTGTAAGTGCTATCTGGCTTTTTAGTCATTTGCTCTTGTTTTCTAAAGTCATTCTTTGAAATTGTAAAATGAAAAACTGATTTCATGTTTCACATGTGAATGTTGATTTTAAGGTGGTTTCAGTGAAATACATACGTTTTTGAGCTCTCATAACTGGGTAGTGTTAACTGTAACTTACCTTTCATAACATAACACTGCCATTAGCCAAAGTAGAATTACTTGACTATTTTTTTTATTCTGAACACATATAGCTCTGGAGTGTGCTTTAAGCATTTAAGTCTGTGTTTGATCCTTTTGTTTCCCTAGGAATTGGACATGGATTTGTCTGAAATCGTAGACAATATTCTGAATATGCATGATACCACAAAGGTAAGAATTTACCTTTCCATTTTTGTCCTCATTACATCTTTGTTTATTCAGCGTAATTCGAGAATGAGGCAAAAATCTTGCATTTTCTTTACAGCAGACATATGTCAATAAAAGAATCTTTTTGAATTAATGTCAGTTTTCCCTTAAAATTTGCTAGGCTGTTCTGTTAGAAGAATGTGGGTTTTATAAACCCTTTTTATATATGAAATTAAACGAAAAATACATAACCAGATTAAATAGATTTGAACCATATGCTGTTTACTACGCTTTACTATGCATAATTAATACCACTTTTTAGTCTGATGCTTGACTCGTGAAGAATTTTTATTTCATGTTAAAAAAAAGATCCTAAGAATAAAATGGCAGGCAAATGTTTTATCAGAGCTCTTTTATTACCAAAGCAGTTGGATCAAGCTTTGTTTATAAGTGTGGTAGATGTTAATTTTCTGACACATTAAATAGCTTTTTAATAGAAATAGGTAACAGTTTAATGCTTTTTTCTTTCTTTTCCTTTTTCTACCCACCCTTTAAGATTGGACATCTGACTCTGGAAGACTACCAGATATGGAGTGTGAAGAGTGCTCTTGCTAATGAATTCTTAAATCTACTTTTTCAGGTATATTTAGAGGAAAATTTAAACTTGAAAATTATGGCCATTGACACATATGGCCATGGAATACAGCATCAGTGTTTGTGCCAATAGAGTTTCTTTTGTCTGTTGCAATGAACTGTGTGTTTTTGAAAGTCCACATTACCTTGACTAGTTAAAGCTCTGTTTGATTATTATTCTTTTCAATATATGGAGATGCCTAAAGCATAATCTGTTAAAATGAATGTAGTGTAATGCTTATAAAATGAAATGAAGCTTCATTTCAGCATCAGCAGGTCTATTTTCCATTAGGAAAAGGCTGTGTGCCTTAAAAGGTTGCTCCTCCAAGTCTTTCCAAAGAAAGTGACTCAGGAAATAAGGAGACTTACTGCTAATGCTTTACCACTTTTCCTTTGTGTTTTCTGCAAGGGCTGTCTAAGGAACTTCTCCGCTTTCTAAATGGAGCAGCCCTTGAAAGCTATGATATCATTTAACTATCACGTTGCAGAAGCTGAGGATTAATGTGCAGGGATTTTTTTTTTTTTTTAATTCAGCTTGACTTGGACTTTTTAAAATCCTTAAAACAATCAAATTTTAGTGCTTGGCTCATTTTGTGTAGAAAGTAAACCACTAAGAGTATTGTGATTCAGTGTAATTTATTCCTTGCCAATGCTGCATAGAACTCGATACCTTCCGAATAAATAATAATAATCCTAATGGAGCCTTGAAGATTTGCTCTAATCCAGTATTCACCTCCAGCCCTCTGTGGCTGTCTCCGCTTTTCAGCGTGGGTGGGGAAGAACCAGTGGGCTTCATTTTCATCTTATCAGTGAAGCTTACAAAGTCAGGTTTTAGCAGGAAAATGCTTGTTCTGAAAGGGGATGTGTGGTATTTCAAGAAACAGTAAATTGTCAGAGCCTGCCTGAATAACATACTACCTTCACCTCTTTATAATCCTACTCTTCATGCAGTAAAAATACTTTAGGGAGACCGAGCAAGAATATTCTAAGTCCATTAGCTATACTACAGTTAAAGAGAATAAAATTAGAAAGTTCTGTTTCTTTTTATCACTAATTGCATCAGTTTGTATTCACCTTCTTTAACCTTCTTAAGACAGACTATGCTTTTCATTGCACTGTCTGTTGTCAAACATCCTAGCTTAACTTAAAGTTGATTAACAAATATCTATGCATATTGGGGGTAGAACAAATGAACATTTGATACATTTGCCTTAATGATAATCAGTTGCAGTTGTTCCACATCGCCTGTTGACGGGCTCATCTGCAGTGTTTTTCCTCCTGACAGAGTAGATACATTTTCATTTCGATTTCTATTTTTATTTTCCTTTGATATCTTTACCTTCTGAGGCACCCTTGCCTTGTGCTGCCGACTCAGCAGCATGTCCTGGCACAGGACAAAGTCTGCCATTGATTTGTCTGGGAATTTATTTGAGCTGTCATGAGGTTCTCTGTCTCATCTGCAGACAGAAAAGCTAAGTAGTGTTAGTGAAACACATTGGAAAGCTTTTCCAGAAATTGCTTTGGTTGTAGCCTGGGCAATTTATCTGAAGAAGCTAAAGCCAGCACCATGTAACATCAGTCTAAAAAGAAACATCCCTGCCAGCTGTGTTGTGTGTGCTGGAAGATCTGTTGCTTCCCAGCAGTTAATGGCCTTTGCTTTATTCAGATTGTGGAATGGTCTCACACTGTAATATAAACTTAAATAAGATATCTCACCAGTCATTAGAAATCTCCAGCTGAGATGCAAATTGATAGCCTCAAAAGAGACATAAGGAATAGTCTATAAATCATGGTATGAGTAGCAACTAATCTGAAAACTGTTTTGGAGATGAGACAGCGGATCCTCCTCCCCGCACAGAGAACAAGGGCCCCCGCAGGGCCCTTTCCCTCGGCTCGTGGGCCGGCACCACGTGCCGGGGGCTGCGGGATGCGCCGACAGGAGCTGGCGAGACACTCGGCTGCAGCCAAGGGCCGTCCCTTTTCCACATAGGAAGGAGTAAAAGGAGGCTCCTGTGGGACTCCTGTGCTCAGAACACAGGCCCAGCCAGTTCGGGCATCTGTCTAGAAGACACTGCCTTTTTCTTCTGCATTGAATAAAAATAAAAAAGTCAAGCAAAGGACCTTTTGACTTTCAAAAGCTTTCTGAGGTTTGAGAGCAGTTTCCCTGGTGACCGGTTGGTTGGTCTCATTTAAACTTCTCCTTCAGTCTCTCCACACGCTGTTCCTCTTTTCAGGCCTTTATAGGGCCACTTCTCTTCAGTGTTCCCGGCTTCCCCGTTTCTCCCCTTCCCCTCATTCTTTGTTTTAACACTTACCTTGCACTCTTCCAGTAGTTCCAGTCTCCCCATTCTGCCTTTCTTCTCCCCCAAGTGTGGGCAGTTGCCTTTATGTTTTTGCACATCAGATCTGTTTCAGATATCGTGGTCTTTCATACTGTGTGCTTTCCTTAAGCCATGAAGTAATAAAAATCCATTTTTGTTCACTGTGATTTGTCTTGGGCTATTTGACATTCTTGGTATTTTTGTCTAAACAGTCGGAGCAAGTCGTGAACCAGGTAGCTTAAAAATACTTCTCTTTTAGTGATTTCTTCATTTTAATACTCTTGCTGCATAGTTAAAAAGAACTTTCTGAAAAGTATCATTAAAGGTGGTTTTTTTCTGGTCTGCCTAATGCTTGTTTGCATAGCGGCAATATTTGTGCAATAAGAATGGCCTTTCTTTTTACAGGTATGTCATATAGTTTTGGGGCTACGACCTGCCACTCCAGAAGAGGAAGGACAAATTATTAGGTGTGTGTTTTGCTCTGAATCTTGTATACGTTTCAAAAGCACCTCCCATTATTTTTCAAAAGAAGAACATAAATTACAAAATTTGCAACTAAAACCTAAATCATGGTGTTCACTCTTTCTGTGTAGAGGCTGGTTAGAAAGGGAAAGCAGATACGGCCTTCAGCCAGGGCACAACTGGTTTCTTATTGCAATGCCGTGGTGGCATCAGTGGAAGGAATACGTCAAATATGTAAGTATAATGATAATGTATACTGAATAAGTGATTTATTTGTTTTTGTAGAAAAAAGAGTGGAGAATAAATGACTGCTTAACTAGTAATGCTTGAAATTAAGCATCTTCTGTCTCTTAGTGAAAAGTAGTTGTTTTGCTGAATCATTGTCACACAGAGAGCTTTTCACTATTATTTCATTAAGCTGTCGCCTTCTCATTGGTTTCCTTTTATCAACCTCTTCTGATCTTACATCTTTCTCTGCCAGGTGAAAACAAAGTTAGGGAAAGCTAAAGTGTTACGGGTTTGAGGGAAGAATGTTTTTTGTTATTGCACATGCTATTCTCATTTAACAACGTGAAATTCAACAAGGATGATTCCTAAAATGTTTTAAGTCTGTGATTGTATCTGCTAAAATAATTGCCTTTTTAGACATTTAGAGCAAAAAATTTGGTATTTCACAATTATGCGTAAGAGTTTATTCCACTGGTTTAAGAATCTTCACTTGTTTGTTTCTGTAGATTCCTAGTAAGTAGATGTAGAAAATACATTTTTCTACAAAGTGCATAATATGTGAAAGTGGCAGCATAGCTGTGAATTCTGGTGATTGATTTGGCTGATGTTAAATGTGTTTTGATTTGTAATTTATTTGCTCATCTGTCAATTTTAGGATGCAAACCCTGTTGTGATAGAACCTTCATCTGTCTTGAGTGGAGGTAAGAATTCACTCATAGTTGCTGCAGCCAGTACTTCAGAACAGGGAGAAGACAGAATGGGAGGTCTTAATAACTGCAGTGCCACAGAAGAAAAGTTTTCAGATAATATTTCTACTGCATCAGAAGCATCAGAGACTACTAGCAGCAGTAAGCACAAAAATCTTATTTCCTTGGAGGTTTAACATAGAACAGATTTGAGAAAACTAAGTACTGCATGGATTCCTCCAGACTAATGAAGTTTAACTTGCAGAAGTGGCCTACATACGGATTTTGGTTAGTTAGGCTGTGGTGGATAAACCAGAACAGTCTCATTTGCATAAACTAGTTCACCTTTTCTGCTATGATTTATTGCCAGGACAGAGAGAAAGCAAGTTTTAGATTTTGGTTTTGAGTATAAAATTCAAAGATTTTATTTGGTGATATTTAAAGATCCAGACAAGTGCATGTTAAACATATATTTGCATATACAAGCCTAGTTATGCTGTGTTCAAGGCAGTATTCGTGGTAGCATCTGCTTTCATATATAGGTCTCATATCCACTTCTACATTTTTTTTGTGAGTGCAAAGCTATGTGTTACTCTGTAATGTGGAATAGTTGCATGTTTTCCTGATGCTTTAAGGTTTAGAAACGTCTTCAATGATCTTAAACTGTTTTAGCCTCCCCCCCTTTTTTTTTCTTTTTAACTAATAGCTTATGTTTTATGAATTCAAAGTAAAATAGGGATTTTTTTTCTCTTATTTTGTTCCAGATACTCTTAACCCTGGCACACCAGGCACTGATACATGTTTTGCTAGGCAGCATAATACTTCGGACAATAATAACCAGTGTTTGCTTGGAAACAATGGGAATAGTTTGTTACCACTTAATCCTCAGAAACCAGGAGCTATTGATAATCAGCCGCTGGTAACACAGGAACCAGTGAAGGTAAATGCAACTGGCTCATGTTAATATGGAAAAAGCACATTTTAATCATTCTTTTAGCACAAGTAGCACTCTTAAGAAAAATTTGTTCTACTAATGGGACTATTCTTCAGTCTTTGTTAAGAAGAGAAACATTCAGTGTGTTCTCTCAAAAGGGAAATTACTTCTGCGGAAATGCGACTTTAATATTACTTACAGAAATACTTTTATAATTAACTTTTGTAGTATGTTTTCAGTCTAAATATGATAGCATACTGCTATTGCACAAAACCCAGAGACCTGACCACACAGTAACACCAAACTGATAGTTTCTCCAGTATCCCTGTGGAAAAAAGAAAAACAAAATATGAAACACAGACCAATGCAATCAAAATGAGTAGGATGTTTCTGTGCTGTATCCAAAATTGTTAGAGTAGGTGAAGCAGAGGAACATAATAGGAATTTTGTATTTGACAAGCTTTCAGAAAAATAGTAAATAGTAAAACTCAAGCATTAATTATTATTACATTTAAATAGCATCTTTCACTATGTAAAGCAGTTTCTAATTGCCACTTAGAAGTATTTTAAATGTGTTTTGTATTCATAAAATAAAATTGTGGCAGCTGTATACAATTTTCTACATTTGAGATTTAACAAAATCCCTTTCTGTTTAAAGGCTGCATCATTAACAATGGAGGGTGGAAGATTAAAGCGGTCTCCACAGTTAATTGAAGGAAAGGACTACGTAATGGTACCAGAACCAGTTTGGAGAGCTCTTTATCATTGGTATGGAGCAAACCTGTCCTTGCCTAGGCCGGTAAGTTGTTAATATAGACACTGTTTACTTTACATAACTGCTGAAATAATGTATACAAACTATTGTGTCTGAGCAATGTTCTTGTAAAAAAGATAACTTGTGTGGAAAAGAAACTTGAATAAATTGAAAACAGGATTTTGTGACCAAGTATTTGAAAATTCCCTGGCCTTTTTTGTATTACTTAAGGTGCTGACTAGATATCAGCACGGGGTGTGGATGAGTACCTAAAACTCTTCCTTTCTCCTCCTCCTCCCCCTTGCCCAAGTGAGCTCATTATTTGGCCACGATCTCTTCTTCAAGTGCTCGTCCGTTCTATATATTCTCTCTCATGTGCCTCACACTGTTGAAGAAACTTTCAGGCAGGGCCTTTTCCTGGTGTTGCACTCAGATTTCCTACATCTCCAAAGACAAAATTAGCCTGCACCTCTGAGCAGTATGTGACTGTGCCAGATAAATCCTGGCTGAACTAGCAGCCCTGAAACTGAAGTAACATGACTGAAGACACAAGGAATTTCTTTTCTGAGAGGGATTGCTCAAACAAAAGATACCTTCAGCGGAAGAGCCTGGGTGGTTCTTGTAGAATTTCTTTGATTTGTGGTGCTTGGACTAAGTTGACCAAAATTTCTGAGTCCCGGCCAGGCAAAGTCCAGGCTTCGAGTGTTACTTAAGAAACCTGTTGTTCTTGCCAGACATGTCTGGAGATTCCTGTATCCCTTTAGATAAACAAAACACTTTTCAATACCATTAGGATTCTCTGGTCATAATGGTATTAAAAAGTCACTTGCCCAAATCTGCTCGCTTTCTTGTCAGCTTCACATCTTCAACACAATTCACCTTGTGGTCAGCTGCAATCTTAGCCGTCCAGGCCTGCATACAGAGAAGAGATTTTTAGTAAATTGCAAAGCATTTTGGATCCTCTTAGATGAAAATGTTTATGTAAGGCAGACCTCGTTTCTTAAAATGTTTTGATTCCAAACAGATTTTAAGCTGCTGTCTTTTTTTGATGTTTTTATAGTATTCAGTGTTACAAACGAGAAAGAATTAGCTGTAGGTTTTTGAACCATTTGGTCTGTTAGTCGTGATACTGGCAATTATTTTACAGTGAAAAATCACTGGCTTCTGTTATCCTCCTCCCACACATTCTCCATGGAAACGAACACCTTTCATGATCCAGAAAAGGCCACATCACTTTAAACATAACGCAAACTAATATGCTTGAGATTTTCACCATGGCCTTATTAGAAAGGAGGCTTCTATTCAGAATCTCTCTTGCCAAGAGGCTTCAAGAATAAAATGATGTGTGAACAAGAGAATATGATTTGGGGGGTTTGTTCCTGTCTCTAAAGATGTAGAAAATGTATATTAAATTCGACATTTTGGTCCATAGTTAAAGAATATTCTCATATTTAATTATGTGAATGCTTGAATTCTTGATGATGAAGATGGTTCAGTTATTTGTGACTGTACGTATAGGCAGCAGTTAGAATTCCTGTCTCTCACCCTGCAGTAGGGTGAAATATTTGTTACTCCTTTCCAGAAAAGGGCAGTGCTCTCTTGTTGTTCTTGTAACTAAAATCTGATACTATACACTTTAATTGCAATAGTGCAGTACATGGCTTCTCACAATTTAAGGTGTTTTCTTCTGGTTGACATATTCAGAAAAATAGTCCTCCTGCCACTTATATACCTCTCCAACTGATCATATTTGGATAGACAAATCTACGTAGCAGTGGAGACTAGAGTAGCTGTAGTTATGTCTTGGGAGCAATTTCAGATTTTTCTTTCAGTATATCAAAATGGGACAAAAGCAGATTTTCATATATCTTTATAATCGTAAACTTTATCAAGGTTTGAATTGGATTCTGTAATCATAAAAGATCAGGAAAAAAATCTTTGGAATGTGAGGGTTTATTTTAACATTTGTGAACCTTTCTGTTGAAGAATACACTGAGTAGAATTAATGAGGTTCATTGTAAGTTCATGGATATTTCAGGGAATTATAAATATATTCTTTCACCAGTATTGCACAGGAAGCTATGCTTTCACTAAATTAAGTGTTTGCTTTTGACAATCTGAAACTAATAAGCTTCAAAAGTACTTCAGAAACAGTAAAGTCATGCGATTCCTGAGGATATTTGCCTAAGACCCCATAAGAAGTTCAGAGGATTTCTTGTTTCATAGTAAAACATAACTTTTTTCTCTCTCTAGACCTCTGCTTTAATCATTACATCCTGTTCCTGTGAGGATTTCCTACACATTTGGAACAGCAGTCTCTAAAATGCGTTTTGAATGTCTTTACTAGGTGATCAAAAACAGCAAAACGAATGTGCCTGAACTCGAGTTATTTCCTCGCTATCTGCTCTTTCTGAGGCAGCAGCCTGCCACCCGAACACAGCAGTCGAACATCTGGGTGAATATGGGTATGATGAGCCTGAGAATGTTTCCTCAACATTTGCCTAGAGGTAACTTAAGAATGCAGCAAGAATAGCAAGTGCGCAGTTTCTCAGAAAGCGAGATCCACAACTGTAGAAGCTTGCTGCCACTGTGCTTGTACCCCGGCTAATCAACTGTAAGGTGCAATCAGCTTTCATTAAAAAAAAAAAATTAAAGGTTTTTTTCCTATCTCCTTTTGGAAGGAGGAGCTATGAAGGAGTGGTATTGGTGAAACCAGTTAAGTTGCATGGTTACTGCAAATAGTTTGGTTAGTTGAAAGTGAGAAATGTGCACACACGAAAGAATCAGCTGAAAAGAGCAAATCTTATCATTCCTATTAGTAGTTATTGTGTAACATACATGCATCTGTATATTGGGGGCTGTGTGTATATATATTTATATACGTATCTATGTATATGCGCCAAATTATTCAAAGCTTTTTAGAAAGAGATTGAACTGGTGGAATATGAAGACTATTACTTGATGCAGTTTGCAAAAATAAACACTGCAGACTTGGAAAATATAAACATCCCACTAAAATGTGCCATAATTACTGAGTTTCTACTCAGCAAATATTGTGCAAGTCATGGATTATAGAATAATCTTCAGCTTGTAGCTTTTCACCCATTCAGTTGGAAAAGGTGTTGCAGGGACTTGTTTTCACTGCTCAGTTTGTGTGCACAGTTGCATACTTGGATTGTACAGTGGCTCTACAGATTTTCATACGCCTGTGTGTTTTCCATACATACAGATTAGATGCCCATGGTGGCCTATATCCAGAAATAGGCTCACTTAACTACTGCAAATTAAATTCTAGGTGCTTATTAGTATTAGTGTGTGTTTAAAATCTCATGCAGATGCTTGATTTTTTTCATTGCTTTGATAGAATCTCATACCTAATGTGCAGATAGTGGCTGCCTGCTTGATCAAGTTCCGCTACAGAAACTGCCTGTTCCCCAAATTCATTTTTCCCACTTTGCCAAGTACAATCAATGGAAACTGCTTTGTTTGGACACCCTAAAATGGCCAAATTCAAATAAAGAACATCTTCCGACACACCAGATTTGATCTTGATTTGGAATTATTTTGCTCTGCACTAATTCATTTGTCCAATCAATTATTAATCTTTTTGAGTTTTTTTCAAATGTGCTTTCTTGCTGTAATCTTACAACTAATCCTCTGATCCTTAATCTTTGATGGTCTTTAAAAAAAGTAGTGATTTGCCTGGTATCCTGAAGCAAAACTGATGCTTTGCTTACTTTTAAGATGATTAAAGAAAAGTTTTACTCTTCTCTCAGAATGCATTTAATATTGTGTCTTTTCAAATGATACCATTTAATTTATTTTAAGTTTTTGATGACAAAAGTAGAATGATACTTCTGTGGTTACTTAGATGAATGAAATTGCCCAGTCAGACTTCTCTGTGCAACAGAAGCTTTTTCATAAATGTATTAGTGTTGTCTATGGGAGGTGGGAAATTCCTGAGCCTAAACTGAAGAAGCTCAGAGAAGTACAAGATATGAAGCTGTTCTCATCCAAGACAAAAAAAACACAAATTTGTTAATTGGGCAGTTCTGTTAATATGTTCTGCAAGTAACTTACTTCACACGAGAATCTTAATAGATCAATTTTATATTGCTATTTACATTTATTTTATCTCTTAATAAAATAATATATAAATGTATCTGCTTTGTCCTAACTAGGATAGGAGATAGCAAGCTGTTGTGCTGATGTGAGATATCCAGAAGGGTTAGTAACAACTAAGTTTCAGTCTAACTCGCAATTTTGTCCCTAAATAAAAGGAGCAGAACTGTATACTTTTACCCAAAAAGCGCTTAGCTCAGTAGGCTTAAGGGGTTATTGGTGAACAGTTCTTTGTTTCACTTTGCATATAGATATGCACATTATGATGTCTACTTTTTTTCCTTATGGTTGTGAATCCAGGGAATGTACCCTCACCTAATGCTCCTTTAAAAAGAGTGTTGGCTTATACTGGCTGCTTTAGTCGAATGCAAACTATTAAAGAGATACATGAATATCTCTCTCAGCGACTACGTATAAAAGAGGAAGATATGCGCCTCTGGTTATACAACAGCGAGGTAATGTCGAGTGGGATTTTTTCATTGGTTTTGTTTTTTATCCCTTTTTAATATTGTAAATCTGTGTTCTTTTACAAAACACACATACTGCAAAAATAATGAAGCCGGAGTTTCTTATGTAATTTAACAACCCAGGTTGAAAAGTTCTGGCTAAATGTGTAAATAAAGATTTCGATCTTGCCACTGATACCACCAGTGGGTCTGAGTATGCAATAGTATGGAAGTGTACTAAGGGATTTTTTAGTTTGGTTTTGCCTATACCTCTTGGATGAGCAGGCTGTGCTAAACTACTGCAAATGCAGTAAATTTAATTAAATGTTAGAGAGGCACTTGAATAGGTCTAGGAAGACTCAGGAGAACTAATTGCAGTAAAAAAAAGCCAAGTATATTCCTCCAGATTGTGAAGTGCTTTGTAAAACACCCTTTGATTATAAAACTGTCATGTTCAGAGCTGTAGTTTCAAAAAGAATGTTTTGTACCCCTTTTGTCTCAAAATTTCCTGGTTCATCTAGTATACCTTCTAAATCTACTTTTCTCATTCTAAAGAAATATTTTCATAAACATACATCCCTAAGATAAAACTTAGGGGTTGACATAGAAGCTTCTAGAGTTTAATTAACTGCTGTATTTAACTGACATAGGTAGGAAACCAGTAGCTTTATATGTGAAGAAATTAAAATAGTCATTTTGTTGCTTTGAGATTAAATTGCTCTCAGAAAATTTTAAATCTAGAAATATTATTTATGTGCAATATCTTTTATCCCGCAGAACTATCTTACTTTGCTGGATGATGAAGATCACAGACTGGAGTATCTTAAAATCCAGGATGAGCAGCATTTGGTAATAGAAGGTATGGAAGAGGCTTACAGGGTAGTCTATGCATGAAAAACAAGTACGGTTTTATACGAGTATGTGTGTGCTTAACAAATAATGCATATGTACTGCAAACGCACAGTTTGCATCAATATTAAATCCTTTGCTTGTTTCAGTCCAGACAGATTCGTTTTTAAGCTTTTATTAGAAACTGATTTATTTTGCATCTGCCAAGAACTGACACTTTTGAGCTTGTCTGCTTGGCTGATAGTCTGTGTTGTGGAAAAGTCTTTCCATACATATTCGTTTTCTCCTTTCAGCTTATGCCCGTTGTCACTCATTCTCCCCCTGTGCACTGTTGTGTTAGGCAGTGCGGTTAATCACACATGAAATAGGCCTTTGTCAAAGGTAGAAGGGTGCACAGATCAGCTGACTTTTCATCTAGTTTGACCAGACTTTTGTCTAATCTCTTAAAATTGGAAGCACAATTCTACATATTTAATTCTATCTACTATTGCACTTACGTTGCAGAGGTGGTGCCCACTTTAAAAATGGGGAAAATAAGTATTTAGAGGAAATACACAAAAATGGGTTTTATGCTGTTTCTGTACAAGCCTCACTTGGAGGTATTTTTATTTTATATCTCAAGCTGGTGTGTTGAATGATATGAGCCTTTTTGCTATTTGTTTCACTTCATATTTAGTCAATTTAGAATTGGCTGGTCCAACTTACCCTTATACCTTGTTTTTTTCTAGTTCGAAACAAAGACATGAGCTGGCCAGAGGAGATGTCTTTCATAGCAAACAGCAGTAAAATAGACAGACATAAAGGTAAGGGTTTCAGCACAGCAATTGAATTATGATGAGAAGAAAAATTAAGAGGGTATATTATATTGAAATAGTCATTTTAATATAAATGTTCTTAACATTGAAAGAGGTCCTTTATGCTGTTACTACTTTGCTTGTTCTTTTTGTGTTATTAACTTAAATGCTGGAAATGTGTGACGATTGCATAGGTATAGCAGTAGAAGAGTAACAAGTGGAACTTAAATTAGAGCTTTGTGTTTGCTATTTTTCAGATCTTTTTTTTTTTCTTTTCTATTTCTTTTTTTTTTTTCCCCTCCTCTTTAGGTGAGAGAGAGTTGAGCTTTTAACCAAATGAAACCAGGACTTGCAGTACTATAGTCTTTTACCTGAAAATTGGTCATATAGCTTATACAGATGGCCGTGTTAGATCAGACCTGAGAAAATTTGGCTGACTTCAATTTTTCCTGACTTAAGTAAAGTTGAGGGAGGGGATATTTTGACCAGAGTTGTCCTCTGTTGCCTCTGTGCAAACTGTTGTCTTGTAGTTGGGAGCAGATCAAATTGAGTAAGTTGCAGTTGAAAGGTCATAGTTAACTGTATTAAGATACCACTGTGGCTTCATTTTTCACATTTGCACCGTTGTCATAATTATATTTTCTTTCTCTCAGTTCCTACTGAAAAGGGTGCTACTGGATTAAGCAATCTGGGTAACACATGTTTCATGAACTCCAGTATCCAGTGTGTCAGTAATACCCAACCTCTGACACGATATTTCATCTCAGGAAGACATCTTTATGAACTTAACAGGTAATCTTCTATCTGAGCCCATTAGTATTTTAGCTGTGTTAACCTTTGGAGTTAGTTTCAGCCTTCAAAAGTCGAAGCATGGATAGATCCTATTAGGTTTAGCATTAGCAGCCCTTAGTTGTGCAACCGGTACCAGATTAGGTCCTCCACAATATAGCTGCTTCTGTTTCTGCAAGAGTCAAAACAGTCAAACCAGAAGCCTTTGGGCACCCTCATTTTTCCCCATTTGTGAACTTTGATTTTTAGTATGATATTAATGACTTTGTGAATTCTAGGATAAATCCAATAGGAATGAAAGGACACATGGCCAAATGCTATGGGGATTTGGTTCAGGAATTATGGAGTGGAACTCAGAAGAATGTAGCACCATTAAAGCTGCGGGTAGGTTTGTAACATATTTCATTTATTTATCTTTGAATACCAAAAGCTTTTTAAAGCACTCTTCTATTTTCTGGTTTAGAGGTATTGTAATAATTCTGGGAAAGCCTCCTCAGTGTTACTTAATTATCGTATTTGCTTTGATCATGTGTATAAAAGTTGGATTTTTCTTAAAATGTTTTTCTTATAGTCTTAAAAAAATGGAAATACTAATAAAAATGTTCTTGCTGTTCTTATTTTAATAAGTGTTCTTATTTTAGGAGTTTGGTAATTATAAAAAGGATTCATATTAAACTTGTGCATCTTTTGAACTAAGCAATCTACAGGCATGTGCTGGAGGCAACCATGTCATGTTAACTATATTGCAGTGCTGCTAGCAAAGACTACGTATTTAGGTTGTTACTTATCATTCATGGTGGTTGTTATTTGTGATTCTCATTCAGCTTATCTGAGAAATTACAAGAATGAGAGATTGTGCTTTTAAGATGTAGATTTTTGCAGCCCTTGTTAGGGACTGAAGATCATGTGTAGCCTGTAAATGGTCTTTTGTTGGGAAAGCAAAGCAAGATGCCTTTAACTCTGGGAATTGCATTTATCGTGCAGGTTGCCAGCGTGCAGTTTTTTCTACAAAGTTTTGATCACTGTTACAAGCTTTATCACAATATTTAAATAGTGTTTTTTTTTCTGTTTTTTTTTTGTTTGTTTGTTTGTTTGTTTGTTTTAGTGGACAATAGCAAAGTATGCTCCGAGATTTAATGGTTTTCAACAACAAGACTCTCAAGAGCTCCTGGCGTTTCTTCTGGATGGCCTTCATGAGGATTTGAACAGAGTTCATGACAAGCCATATGTTGAACTGAAAGATAGTGATGGTCGGCCAGACTGGGAAGTAGCAGCAGAGGTATGGGTTGAAGTGTTTTCTTCTTTATTTCTTAGGGTAAACTAAGATTTTGGTGTTGATGAGAGGCACTTTGGTATTAGTATTGCTGTGCTGTCTTTTGAAACTATGATTTAGGGCATCTTTTTCACCTTTGAACTGAAAATGAATTTGATTACAGGTATATTTATGCGGATAATATACAGGTGTAATGATGGTACTTCACAGTCATTTTGAATGACTCTTCTGAATATGGAATACGAAAACTTTTTGGAATACCTGTTGGTCTTTTTGGAAACTTTTAAAATGATCTCATACCTTGGCTATTATTTTAATAGAACAAACATTTCTTTATTAATGTTGAAACTATATATTACCTATATATTATAAGCTAGAATAGTCTTCAGTTTCTAACTTCATTTTATTTTTCTGCACTTTATCTTAGGCCTGGGAAAACCATCTGAGAAGAAACAGATCCATTGTCGTAGATTTATTTCATGGGCAGCTTAAGTCACAAGTAAAATGCAAAACTTGTGGACATATAAGTGTTAGATTTGACCCTTTTAATTTTTTATCCTTGCCTTTACCAATGGATAGCTACATGCACCTAGAAATTACAGGTGAGTAGTGCTTAGATTTGTCTGTTATGAAACAAAAATTATAAATACACAACAGATTTTATAGAAGTCGTCACGAAACAGATTTTTTTGTGTAAGCACTTATTAGAAATGCAGCAAATTTTTCTTAAAATGATATAACTAGTATAATAGATTAGACTATAAGAATTTTATTTTGAATACAGTTTAAATCTTCTAAAATAGTGTAGATGGTCCATTTTTAGTTTGTCTTAGATTTTCCTAGGGTAAAAAAAAGAGAGAGTGGGAGAGAAGAATAGGCAAACAAAATTATTTTGCTGGTTATGAACTATACTGTGAAGAAGCCATACGCTGTGGGAGTAAAGGCAAAAGGAATGGAAAAAAAAAATGAAATCAGTTAGGGTTTTTTTTTTTTTAACATTTCTCTTTGCAGATTTTTGAAAATTGTCTGATTAATGATTTAAAAATGGAAGACAGGCTTTTGGTGTTATGTTATGTTTTACCTGATTTGCTGATTAAAGTATTTCTTTTCCCCTTTAAAGTAATTAAATTAGATGGTACTACTCCTGTTCGCTATGGTTTGAGATTGAACATGGATGAGAAGTATACAGGTCTGAAAAAACAGTTAAGTGAACTCTGTGGGCTAAAACCAGAGCAGATTCTACTCGCAGAAGTGCATAGCTCCAATATAAAGGTAAAAAGAAAAAAAATATTGCTGCCAACACAGTTTTGGTATTTCTGCTAATTTGTGTACATCACCATGTTGAGCCTTTCTTTTTGTCACTGAACTTTACCTTCAGAAGTGATATTAAATTCAGCTTAGCTAAGTACGAGCTTCTATGTCACTTTCAAACCTCACTTTGGTTTGCTTTAAACGCTTTAAAATTGAAGGCAGTTGGGCCACTTGTAAGTCACTTGTTGCCAAAAAGAAAATTGACAAAGAGGCTTTTAAAACTTTAATTGAATTGATTACTAATGATGGGTTTAGAAAAAATGATAATATCTTCTCAACATTATACGTCTCAAGTTAGAGTGCTGTGATGATTTTAAACACTGTCAAGAGGCTGGAAGCATGAGAAATGACTGACTTTTTATGTGGAGTGTGTGTGTAATTTATATGCATATATGCATACTTCTTTCTGCTGCCATTGAGCAGGGTTTAAACTCAATGGTTAGAAATTGGGGACTTTCAGACTGTTCAGAGCACTTTAATAGCACGCTCAGGTCTTGCTGCAGAGATCTGCAAAGTGATGTGGGGTTTTTGGTGCTCTTTTTTGTGTATAGATGTAAGAAAGTAAATGGGAGGGAAGAGATTAGACTATCTGTAGAAAAAAGAAATGTGTTTGGGGTTACAGATAAATTAAATACATGTCTTATGTATAAACTTTCCGTTTTTCCCTGAAGAACTTTCCTCAAGACAACCAGAAAGTCCGGTTGTCAGTGAGTGGATTTTTGTGTGCATTTGAAATACCGGTTCCAGGATCCCCTACGTCAGCCTCAAGTCCTTTGCAGACAGGTAAATGAAAACATACTTACTCTCATGTTCATTTAAAATTCTCAAAACTTAGACACTGGAGAAATTCAAGAGAAAAACCTCCTTTAATGGTTTGGGAGTAGTGAGAATTAGAGATAGTTTAGTCTCAGCTCCGATCCAGATGGCTTCAAAACAGCTTTCTCAATAGCACTGACGGTCTGTGATCCTTTTTAGTATCATGCCCAGGACAGGGGTTAGAAGAGCACTATTTACCTATTTTAATGATAATATTTTGCAAATAATAAAGAAGCAAGAAACATGCCAGCTGGCTATAAGGCAGGACATAGTGCAAAAAAACCCGAGCGTGGTGTTCAGTGTTTGTTTCATTGCTTGTGGTTTCATATATGCATTGTAAACAACTCTGTTGTTTCTTGTGACAGCTTTGCAGAATCAGAGCATGTAGTAAAAGATTAGGTCTGAAGGAGAACAAAGGGCATTTCATGAAATACATTGGGCAGAACAGAGTCTTGCTTGTTGTTATCAGTTCTGATTGCTCCTGACTGTTGACAGTATTTGTCCATCTACAGATCTCTCAACTGGGCCATCAGCTAATGGAGCACTCAACATAATGATGAATGGGGACCTTCCCAAGCCAACCCTAATTCCAAATGGAATGCCAAACACTGTAGTGCCATGTGGAACGGAGCGTAATAACCTTGCCAACTGGACCCTCAATGGTCACGTGCCCTTGCTTTCTGACAGTCCGTGTACAGGGTATATAATTGCAGTTCACAGAAAAATGGTGAGTACATCTTGTTTGCTATAAATTGTGGGTATTTTTTCAAAGTCAGCACTGTTTTCTTTTTGCAGTTCATATGATTAATCTGTAGCTCTAAAAAGAGGAAATGTG